ATGTATATGTATGTATGTATGTATATGTATGTATATATGTATATATATATATGTATATATATGTATGTATGTATATATATATGTATATGTATGTAAATATACATATTTTATATAAATTAAATTAATTAAAAACAAATCTGTCTTATAATACTTTACTAATATTATACATACATACATATATATATATATATATATATATATAAAGTATTATAAGACAGAGTTGCTTTAAATAAATTTAACTGATATAAAACAGCTTTTCTACAATTTATTTTGTGCTTCTTTCAAACGGTTGTCTCTAACAAGGCAGGAGCCGAGTTGAAAAAACCAAAGTGTTGATTAGGATCAGTTCTGGCCCTCATATAAGGCTGTCTGCGTGATCATGCCTGACATCTGTTGTTGGCGTAAAAATCTAAAAATCTGAAGGAGCTAATTTTCAAATAAATATCAAAAGTTTGTTTATGTATAATCTTGTTTTTTTCTCTTTGAAAATATATTCACCTATATTTTTTGTTTTTCTGCCTCATAACCTGGGATAAAAATGTATTTCTTTAAGTTGTACATTAATACAACAGGGAAACAAAGTAAAAGATTAAAACACTGGAAATTTGAACATGAATCTTCTCATCTCTAAAATTGTTAGGGGGTGTTTAGGACTGGGTTTTGCAGCAGTAACAGCTGCAGGTCTCGTGGGTTTTGTCGGTAAACTCGGAGGGTCTACCCACTGAGACTTTTACCCATCATCCCTCAAGACAAATCTGCTCCCGCTTCTTCAAGCTGATGGTTCTCATAAGTGAGGTCTTTTTTTAGAAAATTTTTAAAACACTCTACAGACCACATGCAAATTGAAGTGTCCGCTTCGACCGGGACATTTAAATGTGCCCTGGAAACCACTCGAGTGCTTCTTTAGAAAGCACGCTGTGATACTGAAAGGTGAACTTTTATTTCAGTCTCAATTCTTCCTGAAACAATAGAACCAATTCTTTGCCTGTATTTGGCACCGTTTATCATGCGTTCAGGTGTGACCAGGCTGCACCGATGAATAACATCCCCAAAGCATGAGGTTGCCACAATTCTGTCGGCAACGTCAGTGTCCGAGAGGCATCAGAGAGGAAGCGGCACAATAAGAACACAAGTGAGCTCTAGAACTATCTGCGTGTGTCTCAGGAGAAAAGAATAGGATTGAATCATTATAAAAACATGTACAACTTTAAACAGTTATGGTGTGTTTAAATCTATTATTGGAACAGAAAAAACATTGCACCATACCGATCCTGCTAAAAAAAATAAAATAAAATTGAGCACAGATATAGACATGCATGTGACTTGTATGACTTATAGGTGCTTTAAAACTAAAACTAAACTTTTTGACCTATAAGGACGACACCATGTGTCAGAAACCCTGCGAAGCCTTCCCAACAGTAAAGTATAATGCTGGCAGAATCATGCTGTGGAGCAGGGGTGTCAAACTTACTGACAAAAGGGGGCCAAAATTCAAACCTTTTTCAAACAAAGGGCCAATTTCAGAAACTACATTAACTCAGACCAGATACCCAGCATCTTTTCTTGGTCACAGGTTCCTCAACAAGAGCTTGATTGGTCTCATTTGATGTTGTCTGTTGTGCTTTCGACATCATAATCAAAGATTACTGAAATAAAATCAAGAGATAAAAGTATTTTACGTTTCACATATCATCTTGGGGGCAAGATAAGATGTCAACGAGGGCCACATTTGGCCCCTAGGCCTTGAGTTGGACACATATGCTGTAGATTCTAAAAAAGTTAAGTCTGGTCCTCTGGACGTTGAAAAAACAAAAACAAAAAAATAGTAGAAACTTTTTGTCTTTCATCCAAGAGACTTCCTCAGTCTGAGGAGCTGTATTCATCTCAGTCTCTTAAATAGCACCTTCTCAGAGTGGATCAACCAGTTTTGCTGCTGACAACTAAAACCAGCTGATCACGTGGTCAAGAAGGACCATCAGCCTAACAATAGATCATTAGCACACTGATGGCTGTTTACTATTCACAGAGGGCTGAGTGATACTAGCAATCACAGCATATAAGAGGGGGACAGTTGAACCTGGAGGCCTCCACCCCTGTTTAACGATGGATGATTTCTTTTTCACAAAGATGGCCTCCTTTACTCCTCTCTCAAACCATCGTTCCTCTCTATCATGGATGTGAACATCTTCATCCCTGAACAGGTGACCTGGAGATGAGTGTAGTATGTTGTAGAGTGTAGAGACTGAGAAAACAAACTTTGTGTATGTTGTAGAGTGTTTTCTCATTTGCATTGCTTGTAATTAGTCAGTACTGAAGCAATGACAAATTACACTAGTCAAGTCGAATTTATTTGTAAAGCACATTTAAAACAGCAACTGTTACCAAAGTGTTTAAAAATGATAAATGGACTGTACTTAAATAACGCCTTTCTATCTGATCGAGATACTCAAAGCTCTTTACACTACAATCTGTGTCCTCTTTTACCCATTCATACAGCACTCTACTGGATCTGTACAAAGCTAATTGAACAAATCATTCTAAAGAGACTAATCAGAGCTTGATCACATTCATCCACCGATGGGACACACATCGAAGGCAATGAGGGGTTCAGTGTCTTTCCCAGGGACACGTCGGCATGTGACTGCCGGTGGATTCGAATCCCCAACTCTTGCATTGGAGGACGACTGCTCTAACCACTCAGCCACAGCCGCCCCACAATTATTTACCACCTGCTGCTCCTTTGTGCAGCCCTTACTGCTGCAGGATAAACTTC